ATATCATGCAAGTCAGGAAATTTTGAAGAAATAGTCTTTGAAAGTTTGTGTGTGTAGCTTCAACAAAAGATTATCAAGCTCTCATCTCTCCTTACGCTCATCTGAGTGATATTTAGCCAAAGCTCCTTTCTTGTTTTCTCGAACTCATAAAATAACCTATAATTGTGTGATAACCCTGTATGTGACAGCCGAGAAAAATTTCGCCACATCACCTCTCCATCTAAACACGGAAAAAAACATTACGTCGCCACGGGGTAAGGATATCAATCAAAATTAAATCGCATTATTACCAATCAGTTGAGGAGAATAACGTCCTAGTTTCCAAATTGATCCTAAAAATAATTCCAAATAATTAAACGTTCTAACTTTGATTTCCTAAGAACGCAAAATACGGTTGCAAGCATAACAGATTTACTTTCACTTCAATAGTGGAATTCTCTTAGAAATCTTTTGCAAATTAGCATTGAAAATCTTATTTTCTACAAAACCATTACCGTCGGTCGTTCGGTCCTTGAGTGAGCTGATTCCACATCGACGAGTTGATACTGTCGTGCATTGCTTAAGTCTGCCGTATTCCATAAATGCATCTTTATTCGGCGTTTTGACACTTGCAGCAGCCGTTGCGAAAAATGAAAAACTACTGAAAAGACAAATACTATTTTGCGAACATATGGAAAATATGTCGTTGCATAATCAACTCAAAAAATATCTTCCAGCTTAAATAAAAATTTATTAAAGCACTGGAATGTTGTACTATTACGTCTTCGAAAATACCCATATTCAACTTTAACCGACTGATAGTTACGTAAACTAATAAAATCTCTACTTTCCTATACTGTAATCTTTAACGTGCCGTTGTCTTCAACAGAGACACATCGCTCTTCAGCAGATGAATGAGTGATTGGCTCTTTCTTGTTCCCATGATTGCCCATTTCATGCAGAACTGACAAGTCCACTTCGATTCCATTGTTCTAAAAAGAAATTTTGGTTTCAAGTCTCTCGGTCTCTCCCTTTGGAATGAGTTCTTGAAGATGCGTACTTTAAGTCTTTGTTTACTAGAAAAAATAATCCATTATTAGTCAGCGAGCATATGGTGTAGTTGCACAGTGCATGTAAAATCCACAAAATACAAAAATTAAACGTGGAACACTAAATGGGAATTTGGGACCAGACTTTCTTGTAGCCAATTCGAGCCCATGCTTTTTGGATCTAGTGGTCGACGTCGCATGCATAATAAACATCCTGCAGGACCTAGCTTTCAAACAGATATAGTCTGTTTGCTAGCTAATCTAGTCGAGAAAGAGATAACAATTCCAGCAGATTTAAGGTCGCGCCACGTTCCAAGCTAGTGACAAGCCATTCGCGGTTTTTAGCCTGCCCTCGACTAACCAAAAAAACTTGGGAGCGGCGAATAGGCCTGAGGCGCGTCCGGAATAAGCGAACATATTCGCAAAATGTCAACGACTGAGGAGCATACCTACATTTCTCCTTAAAAATAAACATAAACTTAACGTCACCTTGTATTTTTGTTTGATGAAGCTCGAATAAAATAACATTTCTTGTATTCTGCAAAGCGAGAACTGGTCTTCCCCCTCCCCTTCCCCTTCTCCCTTTCATTTGCAGATTTGCATTCGTAATTTAAAAATAACAGAATATATAAGTAGAAATCTAATATTATAGACACATCTTCGTAATAATATAACATTTAATAAATAAGCATAAACACATCTTTCGGTGCAAAAAAAAATCTTTTACGATCGAGTTAACCAAATTGAGAACATCCACAATGATTGAAATCTTTATCATGTAAGTCAAAGAAGGCAAGAAATGAGGCAGAACCGCACTAAAAATAATGAAACGCATATTGTGATTTAAGAAAAAGAAGAGTCTCGTAATAAATAACAGGTACATTCGTTTATAAGCTAGTTGCCGTCGTAACCTTTTGAGTGAGTAGTTGTGCGCTGACGGCGGGGCAGAAATAATTTTATACAATTTAGTTTTCAATCATATACTGCTGGATCATATAACTTTGCCAAAAACCGGAAAGAATTTTCTGGCAATAAAAAACCATGTATTAGAATAAATAAAGATTGAAGGTTTTTGTTATGAATTTACTTCCAAAATTACTCAGGAGACTATGTCTTAAATTTGGATATTCTACCCTTATAAATCACAGAACATGACTGAGTAGTTAAACAGCAATTTTAAACACTGACACTTCGAGGAAAACAGACATTCTCGAGAATTTTTGGATATAAACATCTAAAACACCAAATCCGACTATTTACCCACTTCTTCAGTATTAGCCGAATCACTGACTTCTGCAAGCGTCTGGAATACTGGCTTCTCGTGTTCGAGTTGACCATCAGAGTTTAATTTATTCTTTTCTTTCGCAATTGCATCTCCTGATTTGTTGGAGGCGGATTCTTCCAAAACTAAGCTACGCAGATGGTGCAGCTCCTGATGCAAACCAGCAATTTTTGCATCTCGTTCAGTCAGTTCAGTCATGTGATCTAAGATATACCGAACAATCAATGAAAAGAATCAATCATAAGGACAGCACAACCAAAGCAAACTCACCTCGTTTTTCTTGCCTCAAAGCGCGTAATGTAGCCTGAACTAACGCTAAATTATTCTCCAGCTTCGCAATTGCCTGCAAGTTCTTTTCGTCCTCTCGTAGTCGCTGCACAAATGCATATCTTCCCTTCACAAACTGTAGAATAGATCTGTAAGAAAGGAAATACGAAGTAGTACTAGAACAGCTAAGTAGGAATTAATATTGAAAAAAGCAAACACTAACTTGTCCTGATTTTTCTCCTGCGAAATTTTGTTGATAGTCTTCTGATTCTCTGCTATGATCTTATCTTTAACAGCCAGCTTATCTTTCATGGAGATAAATGCTTCATAGAAAAGAGGATCAATGTGTTGGTCACGATGTGCCGGGCCATGACTTATTCCATTGTAGTATGCTTTGTCCCGCTCTTTCTAAAAACGGCCAGATATGTTTAAGCATACCATAGATTGGGTTGCAGGGTGAATAAAAACAGGAACTTTATAACCCCTCGAGTGGGGTTATAAAGTTCAGTACACATCAACTGTGAGAGTCTTTAGCAAAAATAAAGCTACAGGATGGAATCTCACTGAGCTGCGGCAACCATACTCTAAACTTCATTTTGATTTTACTATGCAGGTACAAGATACCAAGCAAACGCCAAAAAGATCTTGGGTGATCATATTTCAATATCATTGGTTTTATCATATACAGAATAATTCTTGGACTTCTATGTAACTGCATAGTGCAATGGCAAACGCGCAGCGTCATCTCGTCTCATGCTACAGTCAGTAACAGAAGCGAAGAAACAACACATCGAAGCTGACAGTCGCATCAAGAGCGAAGTAAAGGCGAAGTCTCCTTTCTGGTATAGGCCTCGTACTTTCCCTTTTTGAGATTTTCCGCGCGTCGGGGCGTGAACATGCGCGGAAATTTTTAAAAAGCATTTTCGAGCTGTTTCGCTCATGCGCGTTGCCACAAGCATGGACAATCTGTTTTGATTGGCATGGTCTACATTGCCCGCCGCAGAGAGCCGCATGCGCGCCGTCTCAAAAATGCATTGCGAGACATTGCGCGCGCGTTCGACGCCTCAACGCGCGGGGGTAAACGCATGCCAATTGAAACAGACTAGATAGACCATCCCGATCAAAATATATCTAGTAGACTATATAATTGATTTTCTATTAAAGAAAGGTATTTAAACAATGAAAACTAGAAGTTTCTAAATCTTTAACAATCCATACCATTTCATGACTGTCCAACGACATGATAAGTCAGCAACTTTTCTATTTACAATATGGTAACTTACAGTAAGCTCCTTAATTTCGTTCTCCTTATCAGACGTTTTCTGTCGCCACAGCGCCTCACGACGTTTTGCTGTGTTTATCACCTTATTGACGTCATCCAAATCAGCAGTTATCGCCACGATTCTGTTATTAAGGATATCGAGGTGATCTAATCTGATGTGAAAAAGAAGAGAACATTTAAAAAGGATATACTTATTAATCAAAGCCTCTTTATCCAACGATTCGAAACTCTCACGATCACGTTTCAATATTTTACGAGGAGAGTCGGTTTGATGACGATCGCTGGAGCGTTTCATATAGTTGGTTCTTCAAAGAAAAAACATTAGTTGTTAACTTTGTACATAAACTGCAAATTAAGCATCAGTTTAATTGATTATGTTCAATGGATTTGGTAGTACTTGTAAGCGGTGAGAAGTAGCGAGAAAGTACATCAAGATAGGAGGTGAACAGTCGAAAGTTTGAGAATTAAATATCTAATTCAGGGCGTGGCGTCGGTCCCAGAAGCGATCAAGCAGCTACTGTGTCTCAATACTGGGCGGCCGCCGACCGTCTTCTACTGGATCGCCCATTTTCCAAGCTACGCTCATCCGTTGCCAATCTCAGCAGTATTATCCTGCCTCCCATTATTTCTACATTATCCGAACAAGGCTAATAAATGATTAGTAATTATCATGTTCCCACGAGATCAGCGCTCCCGCTGCGCAGCGCATACTGTGTTCTCACCATATGATTACAGTCTCTCTCAACTACAACTGGGCTGATCGGGGGCTTTCGGGCCAAATCCGAGCTTTTCCGATGTTTACTGCTAACGTAATGCCTGGCCTACATATGGGTACTCTCTTCCTCGAGATCAACCAACGGGACAAGACTGCCCGGGAGTAAAAGACATCGAATGCAACAACGATCATGAAACGTCAATGGATTCTCTTGCTTATATGCGGCAGTAATCAGGTAGGCTCAGGTTTTCGGAAAAACGGCACCTATCATAAGCATATCGCACACAAACAGATAATGAGTAGCGTATGAGAAACATGTTATCGACCAGATAATTGTCAAATATCATAAAATGAAGTGAGAACGTACCGCAATATCTCACAACGCGGTAAACATACAACTTTTCAACA